TTTATAATTAGAAATGATTGCGATGTACTAAATGATTGTGGGGACTAATAATGGACTAAGATCAAGGTTTAAATTGCTACCGTTACGAATTACAGTAGTGTGATCCAATTGTAAGATGGGGTAGGGGGTGGGGATTGTGTACTCAAAGCGTAGTCGAGTGGCTATTTGTTTATCTTGCCGGGTCGTTTAGGAATTGAAAAGGGGGCAAATCCGGCTGGTGCTCTCTTGAAGTACATGTATGGCAGTTTATATTCAAACGATACTGGCTTTTACGGCGCTTCAACTGAAAGAGAAAGGGGTCGTCGTTTTCGTCGGATTATTTTGGAGGCCTCAGGCCTCTTGGCGCAGTATTGATTTTATGTTTGCTCAAGTGTCAAACGGGTTCGGGGGTTCGAGCCTCAGCTCGGTCCGACGTTGTGTCCTTGGGAAAGGCACTTTACACGAATTTCCCACTTCGCTCGGTCCTTTGGAGACGGACGTTAAACTAAGAGGCCCCGCCTCTTAAATAACCTAATAGTGTTGATGGGGGCGTTAAACCCATACCATTTCACTTTCAAGTGTCAAAGGGGATGGTTGTTAAGGGCTCTGGTGTGGTTTGCTCCTGCTTTTCCATCTAACATCGATCGTATTGATCTATCTTTCTTCTTTTTTGGGTTTGTTACTCTCTAGAAACACCTTTAATCTTCGGCAATTATATCATGACCTTATTGTGTAGCAAGTGCCATAAAACGTTTACTAAAACTTAACTTAACAAGTGTCATTGGAGCCGCATGTATTTCGTTCACAATCACCAAAGTCAGACTAACTGGGGATAGCGAGGTTCGTGTTTTTGATTTGGGGGGGGGGGGGGGGGGGTTGTTAACGGTCTTTGTGGACGGTGCAGGCTCTGATGTTTCCCTCATTGCTGGATAATTTGGTTGATGTAAAGTATAATCTCTGATGTCCTATCAAGCATTACGATAATCCAAGCTTGCTGTTTCCTGTTTACTAATAGCTGCAACCCCCTTTGTGACCTGGGTATACTTCATTTTTATTGGGGGGGGGGGGGGTTCCTTCAGCACACCACACATGTAAGTTAAGCTTTGTTAGTTAAATGTTTTTGATATTTACTTGTAAACTTCAAGAGGTATTTTATGGGCAAAACAGAACAAACAAGCATGTTTCCCTTTCCCTTAGTGGCAATTGGTACTTCAAGAGTCTAACCATTATACCAAAGGCGCCAACTTGGCGACACGCCGGGAACAATAACATTTTGTGGCCACAGGCAGTGTGAAACAATGCCATAGAAGCCGATTGCAGATAGGGTCACGTTTTCCATTATTTCTTTAATAATATTTTTTTTCACGAGTTTCTGAATTCTTTTTAGCATAGCTGTGTCTTTGGCTGGAAGGTTATCCACTTTTTAAGATCAAGAGATGTCACGCTGGGTTTTGATGTAGATGGCTCTGTTTCAAATCCCAATGGGGCGGAGTTGTTGAAGCTACGTTCTTTATTGGGGAGGTTGCAAGATTCTCCTTCAACCGGCCCTGGTTTTCTTTTAGACAGACGTTGAATCAAGATGTCCTACCTCTTATAGAGCCGTATCGTTTTAACAAGGGTTTTAAACGCATGCAAAAATAGACTTACGCATTACATTTAAATTTGAAGCTCGCGAGAAATTACCTATGTAGCCAAAATATTCAGACAGTGAGTAACGCATCAATTTAGCGCGATGATTTACAATAATTTCTTGAACCGACTACTGGCACAAACTGGAGATGGGCAAGGGGTATTTGTTGTGTAGCCTACAAGTCGTAAAATAAAGTGCAACGTCGATGGTCACCGCGAAGGGTCTATATTATCCTACACATCATATATCCGGGCTTTTACAGCAGGCTCTATGCGCTTTACAACTATGTTTACCTTATCAAACCTTACAACACCCAGAAACATTCTCGGCTTCCCATGAAGTATACGAAGCAAGCTGCCGATGGCACGCCTTAAACGCTAACAAACTGACTTTAAAACCAAGCCAACGTCTAGTGTAAGAAGCGATATCCACTGGTTAAAGGTATGTTCAGTTCGGATCACACCGAATCGGGTAGTGGTGCTGGCTATTACTCTATACATCTAACTGACCTTTAGATCTACTTGAATGGCTTCGTCAAATATCTTGGGGTGGAAATACATTTGGACCTTTAACGCATCTCGCGCGTAAACAAAAACAATTGACCCCGCAATGCATTGAAGCCTCCTATCTGGAGGTTGGCCACTATTTCATCAAAGTGGACCCGATTGAGACCAAATCCAAAAAAAAAAAATCAAACATGTTTTATTTTAGAGGATTTGATCATACTGTGACAAAAAAGTAGCTTTTGCTCACCCATGAAAAAAAAAATTGGTCGCCATAAATTGTATCGTACCATTATCAAATAGGGATTTGACAAAACTCTCTGCGTTGCCCTCTGGATAAAAGGCGGAGTGAGCATGATATCATGTTACAGTTTGTGAAAATTAAAAGGCGAGTAAAGATAGACTTGTTCAGAATCCTAGCCTCTCACTGATTTGAAAGAAAAGAATGGATAATATGTCAAAGCATATGATATTATAAATCATGTCATTTAACATTGGGTCATGGTGCGGATAGCATGCCTTCATTTAGCCACTATTAAAGCACAAGGGGGCTATCCCGAAAAATGCTGTTTTGAGAAAATGGAAGTTAGTGTTTTTGGACCCTTGTTCAGTTTCTTTAAAAGACAAGGAGAGTTTTCTCAATAACCAAACAAATATGCCCACCAATAAAACCAAACTTCTCCTATAGGTAGGGCAATGTCTACTTTTGGTGTAGGTCAAGATTTCTGGAAACCCACAAAATCTGGGTTATGCCGCTTGTCCTTAAAAGCGACATTTTCTTTTAGGCGTATTCTTCCACATACCCCTCCCTCCCATCCTCACCCCACCTCATTTATTATACATAAACATCCACTCTTGTCATGTAATGCCAATTGCTCTCTTTTCCACTCTTTCTATTTGTTCAGCCTAAACACAACATTATGAATTAAGTACAAACATGTCCTAGTTGCAATATTGACATGATACAAAAGAGTAAAGTCAAGCTGTTTCACTATTGCTTTTACGATTTATTGATAGTTAACTGTCAATAAAGTGTATAAGACTACTAAATATTCACAGCCAGTAAAACATCTGAGCATTTTACTAACAGAGCGCTTATGCAACAGCTTCAAAAAGAGTAACGTAGAATGCCAAGATGTTCTAGTTGTACTTAGAGAACTGCCCCTACGAAGAAACAGGAACCTTATTATCACTGTTTAAAACACTAACAACAACGTAACAACAAGAACAGCAACAACAGCAACAACAGCAACAACAATAACAACTACAACAACAACAACAAAAGATAATGAGCGAAAGGAAAGTGTTCAGACAACATCTCGTAAAAGTATGATATACAAAGTTCAACGGGTTCTGTTTGTGATTGTCAGTATAACCATGTTGAACTAAATACGTTTCCCGCAAAATAAAGTTTACATTTGCCGTAACAAGGAACCAATAATCATGTCATACATTGGCGTCATAATATGTGTATTTACATATATTTACAGGGATTTCAAGTACGATAATAAATAAATAACAAAAAATGAACAGAGACAACAACTGAAATGAACGCCTGCCATGTGGATACGGTCCAGGATATAACGGTAATTTTGATTCTAGTGACTGATTTTTTTAAAAGTTCGTTGGAACAACTTGATCCTCACATTCTTTTGTGCGTTATAAGTCTACATGAAAAAATAAGACAAACAATAACAGTGGTAACTGTGATCAACCCAAAAAAAAAATAATAACAATAATAAGATCAAGAAATGACAGTAAATGGTGTAAAAACTATGCTGTGTGAGCAAATTTCAAGGCATGATCCAAAATTAGGGAAATCAGGCGCTCGTCAAAATAATTAAATTAAAGACGTCAACATGTTTCTGCCCGTCGCGCAATGTTTGTTGAAGCTTTGCTAGTCACCAAACTTTGGCCAGTCCGACCTTGTGTCCTTGGGAAAGGCACTACTTTACACGAATTTCCCATATTTTGGCTCAGTCCTTTCGGAGATGGACGTTAAACTCGGCCTAATAGTGTTGAGAGGGGCATTAGAACTATACCATTTCACCGCTTCACCTAACTTTGGCGGCCATTTTCTCTCTAATATTACCCCTGATTTCAGACGACCGCCACCTCCTTCGATCGCAAATGTCTCAATGTCGTTTTAAGACAGAGGGGTATTTTTCATCAAAAGCAAGACAAATGAATAAACTTTGGTGAGATGATACGAATCACTCCAGATGTCCAAAAATAGACGAGCGTCTGATTTCATCGAATCGCAACACAAATTGAAAAAAAAATCTTCCAAATATTGATGTCGAAGCCAAAAAAGTACTATGAATGTGTTTTAAGTTAACGATTTCATTAAATCAAATTTTACTCTTTGGAGGTCTGCCCTTTCTATTTCTTTCTATTTTTTTTTTGTTAGCCTATTGTCCTACTCTCCCGGAAGGAAAATTCATGCGATTTGCTGCAAATGCTATGTTCTCACTAACAACTAACAATAACATAAGCTCTGACCTCAAAATTGGTAAGCTCACAGACAATTGCTACTCTAACTTATCGCACCTCTCTCTCTCTCTCTCTCTCTCTCTCTCTCTCTCTCTCTCTCTCTCCC